ATATATATATATATATATATATATATATATATATATATATATCAGATATATATATCTAGATCTCATTGTAGATATATATGCTTAGCTTTAGTATTTACTACCAAATAGTTTTTCTAAAAGATGTTTTTGATTGACTTACCTTTTGAAAAGCCTTGCCTGGGTTTCTAACTGCATAGGTTGATATTCTGGAGTAGCATAAATCATAGCCTAAGATGCAAGGCCATCCATTCAAGTCCTGGACTGAGCTTTGGGAGGAGGAGGGGGGTCAGTGAGGGGGTGCACTGTTACATTGCACATTCTCCCTAGTTCACACACTTGAGCAAAGGGCAAGTGCTAAGTCATAACTGATTCAGGATTGTTCTTTCATAGCAGCTGGGTTCTGTCTCTCTGACAGTCACACAAACTTAGAGGCCCTTAGAATGCCTTTTTTGAGATGCAAACATCTGTATATCAGTGAGATACCTTGGCTGTGAGGAGAAGAGAAAGTGGGCTGGAGAGCCAGAGAAGGCTCTGGGGAGGAGGGGAAACTTGAACTGAGCTCTGAAGGATGGAGCAAGAAATGTCTTGTTTGTGTGCAGGTAAAAGGTTCCTCAGGTTAGAGGTGTAGGTTGTTTATACAGAAAGGGGCCAGACCACTGAGACCCTGACCATTTGGGTTTGAGGCCATGAGCTGTGGGATCTGAGGGGAGTGATGTGACAGGGCCACTCAGATGGTAAATTCAGGAACAGGAGGAAAACTCCCTCAGTCTGACTAGTAATGTAGTAATGCAGCTCAATGTCTGACCCTTTAAGATGCAAATACTCCTGAAAAACAAGAGGGATGAATTTACATTTGTTTTAAAGCTCTTTCTATTCAAATGTGTTTTGAAATGTTTAGAAAGGAGAAAAATCAAAAGGTTGTTTTTTTTGAAAGTGTGGAAGGTGATAGAGAAATAAAGGTAGGAAATGACCTAATTCTAGGGTGCTGGTGTCTCCTGGGTGGGGTCGAATGTAAGACAGAAGCAGACTTGAGGGGAACAGAGTGGCCCCGGCTGCTGGAGGAGCTGGTCGGAGAGAAAAGAAGAGGATATGCCTAAGAAATGCCCAGGGCTCACCTTGGTCTTGCTGAGCTGGCCACGAGCCCACTGGGCCTGCACAGAGCTCTTACCTGTACAGAAGGGCACTGGATACAGTGACCACCAAAATCCTACTGGCCTGATCTGAGGTTTACCTGCAAGGAGCGACACCAGGTCTGGCTTCCACACAAGGCCAAGTGAATGTTCCTAAGCCCGAGGCAAGCTGACTCCACTACGTGGCAGCTCAAGGTGCACACAGGCTCTGCGAGTGTCAAAGTGTATGCATGCGCTTCTATAGAGATTTGTGGCTGCCCAGTGTCTCATGGAGTCAGATGGAAGATGGGGCAGTTGAGAGTGGGTAGGGTAAGGTGACCAGACGTCCCGCTTTTGGTGGGATGGTCCCGATTTTTAACAATTTGTCCCGCATCCCATGGCATTTTAAAACAGTCCCGATGTTTGGAAAGATTTGAGACTCCCCCAGCCCAGAGGTTTTATATCCAAATATGCATGCAGTCAGCCCAGAGGAATCCCCACCATCACCCGCCAAGGCAGGGGGCTTCCTGCCTCTTCCCTTATAGTCTACTCTCAAGGAGCATGTTCTCTTTGGAGACTCTCTCTCTGAAGGCTGACCTTGATTTTACTTTTTTCCTTGGATCCCACAGAACTTCCTCTCCTAGAAAGGAGCCCCAAAACAAGTGCAGATCAGAAGGGGGGACGGGATGTTAAGGAGGCCTCTGAACAATTTAAATCAGTGCTCAGGGACATAATCAGAATAGAGAGCTGCCAAATAGTGGACATCTTTTATCTCATTTCAGCTTCATGTCAGGATCGGCAGGCAGGCTTTATCATTCTTCACATTTCACAAATGACAAAACACCCATCTATTTTTTTGTTCAGTCAGCCAGTCAGCAAACATTTATCAAGCATCTGTTTAATTCATGATACAGTGCCGGGCTCTGAGAATTTGGGGAGGAAAAAATCAATGAAAAATAGTCTTGCCTTTGATAGCTCATAGTTGGGCAATATTCTTCATTGTTTCCTGAAAGGCAAATGTCTGTTCTAACAAATGAGGATCAGTGCTTTGGGTCTTCTGTTAAAAATGAAATCAAATGTAGGCAAATATTTAAATAGTAAAAATGTTCAAGGTCCTTTTAAACCATTAATTTGACAACATCATTTCCTCTTTTATGAACCGATCATGGATTGTACTTAGAGATGGGAAGGGGGAGGGAGTTTCTATTCATAATCTTCATAATCGGCAGCCACAAAACCACTGAAATTCTTCCCAGGAAGGTCTGCTGTCATCACATCTAAAACATGAATGAGAGACTGTAGTAGAGAGAAAAAGCAGCCCATAATACCTTCAAGGCTATTTGTGACACGAAAGTAACATGCAAATGTGAAGCATCTATAAAAAAAAAAATAATAAAATCAGTGAAGCAATTAGAGATAAAATTCTGTTGCAATAAAATAAGTTCTTAATGATGGCTGCAGTTAACCCCATTTTATTTTGTGCTTTCCTACTTGGAGCTTACCTCTCTGCCTAGCACCGTGTGACAGCCATCTACCTAAGTTAGAGAGTGCTCTTAGCAAACTTGTCTGCAAAGGGCCAGCCAGTAAATAGTTAGGCTTATGGGCAATGACCTCTGATGCATCTACCCAACTCTGCTGCTGTGTATTGCAAAAGCAGCCATAGGTAGTACATGAACAGGTAACTATAGTCATGGTTCAATAACATTTTATTTACAAAATCCAGGGGTGGACCAGATTTGACCCAGGGACCATCGTTTGCCAGTCCTGCTTTAAAGTTTTTGCAAATCACTTCACATTGTTATCTCTTTTGAGTTCTGAGAGTAGATACAGTATGTGTCATCTTCAATTTACAGGTAAAGAAACCAGCTTAGAGAGGGTAAAGGGCCTGCTTACAGCCTCACAGGTAAGAGGTGGCAAACCTGACCATCTCCTGGGCTTTCCAGTTCTAACTCTAGCATTCCATGCCCACTGAGCACCATCTATTAAACAGAAGATGTGCAATCTGTAACCGAGATAAATCAGGCAGAGCCGATAGTTAGTCTTGCTCTTTTGTTCCAACTGCCAAGAAGGTGAAATTGATCACGTTTTCTATCCGATGCTTTTTATCATGCAGACAGAGCCATTGCGCTAGGAGTCTAGTTTTCTATTTCAATTTCACCTCAGACAACTTAGTGGTGTGTGGCAAGATACCAGAATTCTCTGGAAATCAGCCATCCCTAGGAGAATACTCCATGTTCATAGCACCTGTGAGCAGGGACATGGTTCTTATGTCTTTTGTATCCTTTCCACACTCTATCCTTATTAGGTGCACCAAGGGCCAGATGTATATGTCTAGCATGGACAGTATCTACCATGTAGTAGGTGCTCAGTAAATATCTGAATGAACCGAACATCAGGGCAAGGATTCAGACATGAAACAGACTCGGGTATCTTACCAGCTGGTTAGCACTCAAAGGCCTCCTCTGGATCATGAGTACCAGGGATACCCTCTTTTCTTTCTTTTTTAAAAAAAAAATATATTTTATTGATTTTTTTACAGAGAGCAAGGGAGAGGGATAGAGAGCTAGAAACATCGATGAAAGAGAAACATTGACCAGCTGCCTCCTGCACACCCACACCGGGGATGTGCCCGCAACCAATGCACAAATGCACATGCCCCCGACTGGAATCGAACCTGGGACCCCTCAGTCCGCAGACCGATGCTCTATCCACTGAGCCAAACCGGTTTTGGCAGGGATACCCTCTTTTCTCACCACCACAAAGCTCTCCCTAGCACCTAACACTGTACACAAGACAAGCATAGCCAATACAAAAAAAGTGAAGATTCAGTCTCTGCCCTTCTCTTTGCTAAGGGCAAATGAATCCTGATGTGAATAACATGCCCGAGGAGTCTTCACACCCTCAGGGGTAGGGTGGGGGGGGGGGGGCAAGGAAAGAACTCTTAGGCACAGGCAGCATGCCTTTAGGTGACACACTCTAATATCTTGTGCCCCAGTTAGCTTTTCCCTATTCATTTGCATAGTCTTATTTTTATGGGCCTGCTCCACGCAGTTCACATATAACAGTTCAAATGAATTCCCAAATATGACCAAGAGCCATCTGGTCCTTTGCAGAGAGCTGTGGCAATTTGGGAGTGAACCAATTTTACCCCCAGCTTGTAACAAACATACAGAAGACTTGTAAGAACTGTCCACTGTCCACATCTGGGCCTAGACCCTCCTTAAGGTGACTTAGGAATACTTATAAAAGGACGATATTTGTGTGTGTGTCCTCATTTTGAAATTTGATCCTGTGATGAGCCCCACAAGGCACCACGGCTTGTCATGAGATGCACTAAGTTTACTTCTATTGAATCTGTTTTTGTTTTTGTTTTAAATAAGGAGGGCTTGTATTTTGTATACCTTTTATAAATTTCATTTTTCTATGAATTCATTTTTGTTAAATTTTTGTGACAAATTGGAAATAAAAGAACACAGGCCCTTCACTAGTGATAATTTGAGAAGAACCTTAGAGGGCAGTATTCTCTAGGGTAAACGGTGAGTCCATAGACAGTCAGGATAAGGGGGAATCATTGAAGGTCAGACACCCAAGGAAGGCTTCCTGGAGGAGGGGCTCAATGTGGATTTTGGAGGATAAGCAAAATATTGACAAATAGAGAGGACCCTTGGGTCACCCCTATAATACATAGGAGCATGTCTTGGTACGGACATGTCTCCAGGCTGCTTCTAGAGCATCTACATTTTGTTTCTTTCTCACGGGCTAATTTCTCTTTCATTCTCTCCATCTTCCTCCTCCTCTCTGTGGGATGACAAAGCACTAACAGGAAATAAGTAAATGGGACATCTGCTTTCTATTTCAGGAGCAACAGAGACCATCCAGGAAGATTCTTTAGGTTCCTAGGCACACCTGGCTATGCCTCTGTGGTCATCTTCCCAATGGAGCTGGAAGCTAGGGCAGAAGGACACAGTGGGGGCCTCTCCCCAGCTCCCCAGACAGGACTACAAGGCACTGCAGGAAAGGTGCCTAAGGGACGGCTGCCTCTTTGAAGATGACACCTTCCCAGCCACTCTGAGCTCCATCGGCAGCGGGCAACTGCTGCAGAAGCTGCCAGGGCACCTGCAGTGGAGGAGGCCAACGGTAAGGAATGGGGAGGGGGCTGCCAAGCAAACATACAAAATGTGTCAACCCAGACCTTTTTTCTGAGGGCTCAGAGCTTCTGATACTCAGTCTTACTGCCATTGATTCCCATGAGATGGGAACTGGGTAAGTCCCCTCATACCCATTTTCCAGGAAAATAAACAGGGGTGATCTTGGGAGGGGTCTAAGATGTAGCTCCCCCTCAGGCCAGTTGCTAGCAGTTGCTAGCCAACTACAGTAAGGTCCTGGTTAGCTTCCTCTGAGATGGCCAGGCATCCTGAGTCACAGCCAGTGCAGTCTGCCAGAGAGACACATTTTAACATTTCACATGCCATTCTCCCCAAATTAGCCTCATGAGATATGTAAATTAAAACCCATGGACACTGACAATAGTTGGGTGAAAGCCTGGGAAGGCAATGAGAGTGAGGAGGGGTGGTCAATGGGAAAAAAGGGGAACAAACATCTATAATATTTTAAACAATAAAGATAAAATTAGATAAGAAGAAAGAAGTTATTAATCATTACAAAAGTATTCTTTATAAATGCATCAATAATTTCTTTAAAAGACAACTTTTCAATGTGTTCAAAAGCAATTAATCTCCCCCAGACTAGATTTACATGTAAGTCCAAAACACATTTAGTAAAATCAACCTGTACTACAAACTCTCCTCTTTTCTCTTCCCTAATCAGCCATTGCCATAAAAGCCAGACTTATTAAGTCCCTACTATGTGTAAGATTCCCAGTGCACCTCCTAGAGGCAGTCATGATTCTACTTCTCCCAGAAAATCTTGGAACTGCTGATACAGAGTTTGTCCTGCAATTGACCTTGAGTGGGCTGTGTCCACAAAGACTGGGGGATTGAGTGCAGGTCCTGGAGCACTAAATCCTTCACCCCATCCCAGGCCACATCTCAGCACAGAAAGCCCAAGAGGCAATTATTTGTGGGTTAGGGGCAGGAAGAAGTGGGAGAAAAAGAATGAGAAGATCCCTAGAAAAACAGAATACCCCCTCTAAGAGGTACTCCCATTTTTAATAGAAACTCCAAGAAAAGGCATTTTTGGTGCAAGTGCTACTTCTCAATATCCACTCAGAGTTCTCTAGGACCTGATTTACATGAGCTTTAAGAAGGAATGAGAGGTACAGTGGACAAAATATGTATACCAGATTTTCTGGGACAGCCATGATTTTATATATAGATATATTCCATATTGATGTCCCCATATGTCTAGTTTGGGCATATGGGACCCAGTGGTCACTGTGGTTCTAGGAGCTTCTTCTGGTCAGAAGGACAATTCCATCTCTCTCTGCAGGAACTACATGTCAACCCCCACTTCTATTCTGCCAAGGCCAAAAGGCTGGATCTGTGCCAGGGATTGTTAGGTAAGTCTGCACGCCCTTGAGACACACACTTAGCAGCTGGGAGCCTGGCCCGGCTAAGGGGAAGAGGAGAATCAAGAGATTCTAATGCGGGAAATGGCCACCTGAGCTCTACCTTGACATGCTGTGTCCTTTGCTGGGGAAATGGTAACAACTGGTCCTACCAAGATGCATGGGAATGTCAAAACCTGCCCAATCATAGCCATAGCTGGTTTGGCTCAGTGGATAGAGTGTTGGCCTGCAGACTGAAAGGTCCAGGGTTCAATTCCCATCAAGGGCAAGTACCGTAGTTTCAGTCTTGATCCCTGGCCCTGGTAGGGGCATGTGTGGGAGGTAGCCAGTTGGTATGTCTCTCTCACATCAACATTTCTCTCTCTGTTTCTCTCCTCCCTTCCAAAAAAATCAATGAAAAAATAATCTCAAGTGAGGATTAAAAATAGCAACAACAACAACAAACTCCAAACTCACAAAACCCCTGCCAGACGATAATCTTCATTATGAGTTTTTAGGTCTAAAGTCTTGTCTTGGGAAGATGTGCTCACTCTACTTTAGTCCCTGTAATGATTCCTTCTTGGCACACCTGTCATTAGATACCCCAGACTAGAGTCCAGGAAGGCCTGTTCTCAACCCAATATTCTTTTTAGAGTAATAGAAATAACCGTTGGCCATGAGAGAAGGCACATGAGCAGTGATACCCATGTTACAGACAGGGGAAAGAAGTCCAGAGGGTTGAGGCTTTCCCAGAAGAATATAAATCAGTTACAGAGACAGAAAGTTTGGTTGTGTTTGAGTCCATGTTCCTGAGGATGGGACATTTGACAGGCAAAAAGCTTGTCCAGGAATATGACTCAATTCTTGTTTCTAGCCAATGCCCCCACCCCAACTCCGCACCACACTTTCTCAATCACCCTCTTCCTCCCCAGTACACAATTCCCTTCTAAATTAGGCTACAAGTTCAGAAAGGATAGCAATTTGGACCAGGCATTTCTTGCATGTAACAAATCCTCAGTAGATTCATGCAGGCACCTGTAGCATATACATGCATATGCAGTACTTCCATGCAGACACCTGGAGAGTGTGCATGCTTGTGCAATGCCTCTATGCAGATACTGTCTGCTGTCTGGCTTAGGTGACTGCTGGTTCTTGGCTGCTTTGCAAGCTCTGTCTTTGCACCAGGACATCCTGAGCCAGGTTGTCCCCCTGAATCAGAGTTTCACCGAGAACTATGCTGGCATCTTCCAGTTCTGGGTGAGTGACCTCCTGCTGCCCCTGTTGGATGGAACATAGGAAAGAAGGATCTTGGAAAAGTCGTGTCCTTGTCTCCTGGGCTTACCATGTTCCACCATAATCTTTACTCACCAGTGGACACACTCTCCTTCCAGTTCTGGCACTTTGGGAAGTGGGTTCCTGTGGTGATAGATGACCGACTGCCCGTGAATGAAGCTGGCCAGCTGATCTTTGTCTCTTCCATCTTCAAGAACTTGTTCTGGGGAGCTCTTCTGGAAAAGGCCTATGCTAAGTAAGACAACCATGGGAAATCTTTTTCCTCCCCTTCTCTTTCCCTCCCCCTTCCTCTCCCCTTTCCCCTTCCTTCCTTTCCTTTCCCTTCTCCCTCTCTCGTCTCTCTCATCAATATTGAAGGAAGGCAAGATGAGGTAGGTAACATTTATGAAGTGAGATACTTGATTCAGTGAATATATGTGACATATCCAGAGCCTTTTATGTAGGGGTCATCCCATCTGAACAAATGTTCAGGAATTTGCTTTCACTAACGGATGGAGTTGCTCCCAGGATAAGAACACTGAGCATATATTTCCAGATGCATGCCCAGGGAATAACCAAGCAAGACTCCTTTGGACCATCCCAAGCTGCAGCCTAAATGCCCCTTCCCTTCTCTGCCCATGTTTTCTCCTCCCGGACAGGCTCTGTGGCTCCTATGAGGACTTGCAGCGTGGACAGGTGTCTGATGCCTTTTTGGACTTCACCGGTGGAGTGTCAGTGACCATCAAACTGGCAGAAGCACCTAGAAACCTCTGGGACATCCTAAGCCGAGCCACCTATGGCAGAACCCTCATCGGCTGCCAGACCCACTCAGGGGTGAGACTCGGATGTGAGCCAGCAGATTGTCCTCCTTCTCTGCTGCCACCCTCTCCAGCTACCAGTTGCTGTTCTCACCTCAGTGGGAGCCCCAAGACTTTTGCCAACCCCTGCACCTACCATCCTGATGTTCACCTTGAGCATCTCAGGGCAGACAAGGCCACCATAGAGCACAGGCAGGGTGCAGAAACTGGAGTTGGCAGTAAGTGTTGACCACATGTGAGGTATTCTATTAGCACAGCTGCTTCTTGCTATCTAACTTAATAACAACCAAGAACATGGAAGTTCAGCCATCCCAGGATCCCTCCACCAGCAACTGTGTCACTTTACGCACTAAGTTAGTGGCTTTGAATCTGAGCTCACCCTTTGTAAAGTGGTTACAAGCCCTGCAGAGTGGTACCCTGACTTACAGGCTTGAATGAGATGGGGGGGGGGGTGCTGAAGAGCTATGAAAACTGTAAGGTAACACAGGGCAGCGGAGGTCTCTCCCACCCCTTCCTCCTAACCCTTGCTACAGCCAAACAGGCCCCTGGGTAAGCAGGACTGATGGTGTTTTCTTGTTTCTACAGAACCAGAGGGTGCTGGAGAATGGGCTAGTGGATGGCCATGCCTACACTCTCATAGGAACCAGGAAGGTGGGTAGAGCCATGCCCCCTGTTTCCCTTCAGTACCCTCTTCTCTCCTAGGGCTTCTTGCCAAAACCTGGGGTCATCTTATTATCTGTGTCTAATCTGGGACAAATTCTCTGGTGGATCCTCCAGTGCCTGCCAAAGCCAGTGGTATTTCCCTTACAGCTGTACCTATTTTCTGAGATCAAGTGGTAGGTCTAGCCCTTGCCACCATCACTGCACCATCCCGACCTTCCATTCCATGGGGAAGCCTCAGCCCATTGACCATCTGTCCCTGCTGTGCCTCACAACCCTTCTTGAACTTCATTTCCCTCCAGATTCCTGGTCTTTTCTTACTTGCTCCTTTTTAGCAGTCTCTCAGTTTCTTCCTATCGCTACCTACCTTTTGAGTTCTACTAAGCATTGAAGGAGGAATCAGACAGGGACCCAGCCTACAGAAAACTTACAGTCAAGTATGGAGACAAACCATATCTGAAAATGATTTAAAAAAAAACATAGATAAAAAGTTTTAGGGGTACAGAAGCTAGGAGAGAAGCATTCAAAGGCTTTCCAGAGGAGGTGACACTGAATTAGTCCCTGAAAGATGGTGGATTTATATGAGCAAAGGGCATTCCTGGCTGAGGGAACAGCATGTGCAAAGTGTGGAGATAAGCAATCAGTGGGTTCAATCTTAAAGAACCTCTGATATTCGCTAGAAAGGCTCACTTATTGAAAGTCTTCCAATTTCCTTTAATTCTGTTTCAAATTTCTCAAACTCAACTAATGCCTGGACTCTCTTTCTGGCTAGATATCCACCAATCATTTGTGAATGTGTGTAACTAAGAACTTGACCTTATTTTCTTTTCTTTCTTTTTTTTTTAAATAAAGACAATGGTCTGACAGGTAGCCATTTAAAAAATATATTTTATTGATTTTGTACAGAGAGGAAGGGAGAGAGATAGAGAGTTAGAAACATCGATGAGAGAGAGTCATCAATCAGCTGCCTCTTGCACACCCCCTACCGGGGATATGCTCGCAACCAAGGTACATGCCCTTGACAGGAATCGAACCCGGGACCCTTCAGTCCCCAAGCCAATGCTCTATCCACTGAGCCAAACCGGTTTCGGCTTGACCTTATTTTCATATTTATTTAGCAAAATCTATTTTTTGTTAATATTTGTATGTTTATTTTAATATTTTGTTTTAGATTTATTTAACAACACTTGACAGAACTTAGCACATACTATGTGCTAAATACTGTCCTAACTGCTTCACAAATGTTAATTCACTCAATCTTCACAACATCTCTGTGAGTAGGTATTAGTGTCCCAGGGTTTCCATAACTAATTACCACAGGTAATTAACAGAAATGTGTTTTCTCACAGCTCTAAGGGCCAGAGTCTGAAAGCAAGGTGTCATTAGGGCCACACTCCCCATCTCCCCACCCCCCAAAGACTCTAGGGGTGAAGTCTTCCGTCCTCTCACAGTCAGGGGTGGCTCTCAGCCTTCCTTCGCTTGGGAAGCATAGCTCCAAGCTCTGCTTCCATCTCTGTGTGGCCTTCCATGGCCTTCTCCTCTGTGTCTTCTCTCCCCAACCCCCCATTTTACCTTGTCATTGGTTTTAGGATCCATCTTGATCCCCGATGATTTATGTATTTATTTTTACTGATTTCAGAGAGGAAGAAAGAGGGAGAAAGAGATAGAAACATCAGTGATGAGAGAGAATCATTGACTGGCTGTCTCCTGCAAGACCCCCATTGGGGATTGAACCCACAACCTGAGCATGTGCCCTTGACCAGAATCGAACCTGGGACCTTTCAGTTCACGGGCTGATGCTCCAACCACTGAGCCAAACTGGCCAAGGCAATGATTTCATATCAAGAATCTTAATTGCATTTGCAAAGGCCCTTTTTTCATATAGGTCACATTGATAGGTTCTGGGTAGACACTTCTTTTGGGGGCCATCATTCAATTTTTTATAGCAGATGTGACACTTAGCTGCATTTTACAGATCAGGAAACAGTCATGGAGAGGTTAAGTAACTTGCTCTACATCTCCTAGCCAATACGTAGCACAGCCATTTTCTCCTCTGCCAACTCTCAGGGGCCTCTGATCTCCGATTTCAAAGTCTTGTGTGCAGGTGTAAATCTCACCTAGATATCTGAAGCACTTGCCCTTAGCACTCGGACCAGCCCCCTAAACCACTTCTCATTTTGTGCAGGTGACCTGCCATCACAAGCCTGAATATCTAGTCAAGCTGAGGAACCCCTGGGGGATGGTGGAATGGAAAGGAGACTGGAGTGACAGGTGAACTTCTGAGATGGGCTGGGAGGGTGAGGAAGGGGGTAAGTGAAGCCTACAAAGGAGGTTGCCATGTGCACACAAACTCCAAGGTGTTCTTCCCTTGGATCAGAAAAGTTTTCAAATTGTGAAGGTCAATTTCTCACATTTATACAAGGTTTAATGATATCTAGATTGCTTTCTCATTCTTATAGTAATGAAAGTTAAATGTTTATTAAGAACTGGCTAGCACTGTGCTAAGTTCTTTGAATTTTTATCTAATTTAATCCTCCAAATAATGCTATTTTAAGGTAAGTGTTTTGGGCTATCTTCATTTTACAGATGAAGGAACTGATGCTTAGACTAGGTGGATTATTTAAGGTCTCAGCATGACTCAACCAAGGTCTTTGCTGTCTAGACCGATGTTCTTCCCCTGGCATAGTTTAATGCACTACTGGGTTTGTTGAATCAGAGGTGGACAGATCCGAATTGGGCTCTACATTCTGGTCCTATGTAATGACCTTAGGTTGTTTCTGCCCAAAGACAACTCTACAGGGATGGGGGCTTTATAGACTACAGACTGGCTATAGGGCACAGGCAGAAAGGGAGACCATTGGTAAAGTCCTTCCCCCTCTTGCTATGAAGATTTATAATACCTGACCCTGTATAATACTTTAAAGGACAGAAACATGCCCACACACCCATTGTCACTTGATCATTTTTATAGATGAAGAAATGAAGGTTCAGAAAAATTACTTGAATTCTACTCCTCATAGAATGTGCTGCACTTGATTTTTTATGCACGAGTAAAGAGAATTGTCAGAGGAGCTGGGTCTATGTGAAAATGGTTTTAAAGTGTTACCAAAATATAGTATCATGACATTGATTTTAGTTTATCTCACAGAAGAACAAGTACATACATTAGAGATGGGTGATGAATTAATTTACTTTTGTTAGTTGTGTGATTTTGGAAAAGCTTTTCATTTATTTGAGCCAGAGGTACGGTGAGGATTTAAATAAAGTGATGGGATTTTATTTCATAGAGGTCAATCTGCTGTTAGTCCCATCCAGTGTATATTTTCATTTGAGATACTGTATTTTCTAATTCTAAAGATTCCACTTGAAAATATCTCCCAATTCTCTCATCATTATGTCCATAGTTCGCATTACAACCAGGAGAATATAGAATGGGTTTTAATGTCTTCATTTGCTAATTCCATTATCTTTCTCATTTCTAGGTCTGTTTGTCCTCTTTTATTCCTGGTCATAGATCACATTTTCTGCTTTTTTATACACCTAGTAATTTTTTACTGGATGCTGAACATTGTAAATTTAAGTTTCTGAGTGCTGAGTTTTGTTGCATTCCTTTAAAGGATGTTAGTTTTGTGTGTGTTTTTTTTTTTCTGGCAGGTACTTAAATTGCTTAGGGATAACTTGAAGTTTTATTTTAAAGCACTTTTAATACAGAGCTAGAGAAATCTTTATTTCAGGGATAATCTGATCCCACTATTAAGGTGTTGATCCTCTGGGATCTCTACTAAAAACCCCATATAGTCAACAAGGTCTTTCAACTCTGACTGGTGGGACTTTTAAATGATTCCCAACCTTGTGTCACCTCTGGAAATTCTTCTGTGTATAGTCCAGTCTTATGGAGGATTTCTTTATGAATGCACACATTTGATTTCAGCCAAAGACTCAAGGGAGCCCCTATGAATTTCTCTGGAGCTACTTCTTTACGTAGCCCCCTTCTCTCAGGCACTTTGCCCAGCAAAATCTAGCTGTCTTGGCCTCCCTGAACACTGGACTCTGTCTCCTACACTCAGCAACACTGCTGTGTCCCTTTTGGGGTCCACTTTTCTGCACCACTGCCCAGGGAAATCTAGGCAACATTAGGACTCACCTCCTTTGTTCCCTTCCTCTTGGGGGTCCCGATCCTGTGCTGCCTGCCATCTAATGTTTGGAAACAGTTGTTCCTTAAATGTTGTTTATCGTATGAAAGTGATACAGGAGAGCCTCATCCTTCATGGCCAAAAATAGAAGTCCAAAACGATGGGCTTTGAAAAGAAACAATTCTAATATTGGTTCAAATAGCTTTGTGACATTTAATAGCCTTGTGGCTTCAAGCAAGTGATTTAATCTCTTAACCTCAGTGCCCTGGTCTCTAAATAGGCAATAAGAACCCCTAACCTGTGAGGTTGTTAGCCTTAACTGAAATAAAGCACGTCAAGAGCCTAGCCCAGAAATGGGCTCATAGTGAATAATCCATTCCATTAATGTTACACATGGCTTTGATAATGTAGAATGTGAGACTTAGTTGTCTGCAAAGGCAGCATGAAGATGAGAATAAATGACAATCCTTCAGCAAATAGCACACTTACTGAAGAATTTCTCGCATGTCCTCCACAATCCTCGTGAAAACATTTCTTTTCTGTTTTCAGCTCAAGTACATGGGAACTACTGAGCCCCAAGGAGAAGATGGTGCTGCTGAGAAAAAAAGATGATGGAGAATTTTGGTATTTGACTCGAGGACCAGGGACAAATGCCCTGGCTGACAAATATTTGGTCACCCACCCAGCAAATATGTGTGGGGTACCCCACGTATGCCAGGCATCTCCTATACAGAGACTAAAAAGATCACTGTGGGGCTCACAGTCTAGCAGGGCAAACAGCCCCTGCAAACACACAGTCACACTCGTCACACTCTCTGTGACAAGAGCAGTGACCAATGGCCCAGAGCTCAGAGGGTGCTCAGAGCAGAGTGTGGGGGTGGCCACCTCCTCCCAACTTCCGCTCTGCTCTTGTGTCACTCAGTACACTCCATCTCAAGGTTATGCCTTTCCTGGCCTAGAAAGGAAATGAGAAAAGAAGGGACTGCAAAGTCTTGCCAAACTATAAGCCACCTCATCTGAGCCCTCCAGAGCCAAATTGTACCACTCCCACTGATTCCAAGGCCACTCACCTCTTATTATGAAGAGTCACCCAAACACCCTGAGCTGATGCTGCTTCTTGCTGTCTGACATGAGACCCTTCTGCTCCCATTCGCTTTTGCCTTTCACCCTTACTATCAACATCCACTCTGTTCCCAGGAGTCCTCTTCTCCATTGCCTGTTCTTTCCGGCTGGCTGCCGCCCTCACTCTCTTTTAGTCACTGAACTTCAAGATCCTGGCAAATACTGTTATTCCCAACTCCAGATAAGTGAACTGAGAGTCAGACAGCTCAATTAGCATGGCTTGATTGCAAAGCCAGTGAGTAGGAGCAAAGATTTTTATCCATTAATGATTAAGAACATGTTGCTGAACATCTATAAGTCAATTGACTGGTTATAAATGCCTCAATTCAGCTTTATCAGGGCAACCAGCAAAGCAGCAACATTCTGCTCCAGGAGCCATTGTATAAGGCTGTTTCCAGCCATAGGAAGGGTTTCTCTGAAACTCCAGCAACATGTGATGGACCCTCACACTGGTCTAGCCAGCCTCACTCCCTTGTCCGAAGCCTGCTGGGCTCTGCACAGGGGTGTGGAGGAGGGGAGAGGGCTGGGATGCCGCTGCTCTGATCCAGCCTCCCAGTTGGTCCTGATAACTAGACATCATCTCATGTGTCCCTGTGTGGTTCCCTCTTCCTCTCCAGGATGACACTTCAGGACTTTAAAGTACATTTCAAGCTTCTGGTCATCTGTAAACTTACCCCAGGCCTTCTGAGTCATGAAGTGGGCCAGAAGTGGTCATACACTGCACAGGAGGGGAGATGGAAGAAGGGGACCACTGCTGGGGGCCCCATAAAGTCGCACCACGGTGAGTGTGTGCACAGGAGCTGGCCAAGGTTCTTGGGTCTAAAGTGGTAGCTTTCCCAGGCAAATGGGGGGAGGGGAGGAGAGAGAGGTGTGCAGAGCCACCATGGACGGCTGTGCAGCTTGTGCCCTGCAGAGGGCATCTGGCTGAGTGGCAAGGGAGTCTGCTGTCCAAGCTGACTGCTCTGGTCCTGGGCTGTGTCCCTGGGAAGATTGGGCACCTTTGGACCTAATTTGCAAAGGCGTGGAAAGCTGCCAGCCCATTGGGGCTGCGTTTCCAGAGGGGCCTTTTCCTAGTTAGTGCCAGGAGGCCACAGGCACGCACACATGGTAAAATGGTGGGTTGCATCTTGTTTTGGTTTTAGGACAAGGCGATTGATTGGCTGAAGTAACCACCCCTTAACAGGATGGGCAGGACTAGTAATTATGTCATCTGCATCCGGCCCACTTGACTGAGAACTTGGTAGGGATCAAGATTTCTAGGTCCTCAATGACAGGAGACAAGCACATCTAAATTCTCAGAATGGAAGCTTTGAGGGCCCCTGACCCTTTCTTCCCAATGGAGGTGGTGCGTGATCCCTTTGGAAGGAAGGCCCTGTAGAGTATGACCTCAGCGGGCTGTGGAGGCCTGAACTCTGGTGTCCCCTCCCACCAGATGGTCTCTCCACCCCCCTCCCCTGCTGAAGTTGCCTTCGAGCTAAGGCCTGGTTCCCTTAAAACGCAGATGCCCTGAGGGCCATGGCATGCTCTCCCCAATTAGTTGAAGAGTCACTTATTCAGGCAGCAGTTGCTATGGGACCGGAAGCCTGTGCCTGGCACTGTGCGAATAACTCAGCCCGTGTGTCTGTGGAAGAGCTGGGCGGTAACGGTGAGATGGGAGGGTGGATAGAGCTGAGGCTGAAGAGACCCCGACTCTCTCCAAATGAACCTCTGGGTGGGGATCCTGGGGCAGGTGTCTGGATCCATGCACCTCTCAGTGTTGGGGGAGCCACATGCTGGCGGAGCTGAGGACTTGTCTCACTTGCTGTTTTCAGCCCGAAACACATTTTGGAGGAACCCGCAGTTCCTGCTGTCTGTCTGGAGGCCGCAGGAGGGCAAGATGTTCCTCACGCCCTGCAGTGTGCTGGTGTCCCTGGTCCAGAAGCCCAGGCACAGGCACCGCAACCGGAAGCCTCACCTCGCCATCGGCTTCTACCTCTTCAGGGTAGGTGGGAAGCTGGGGCAGGCGCCCTCGCACGGGGTCTCCGGCTGTTGTCCTTTCTTTCTGCCTCCCATCCTCTTCACTATCTGTGTCTGCTTACTTGGGTGCACATCCTGGCTCTGTCCCTCAGCAATGACTATGTGATCCAGGACAAGTAATGTTCTTGCACTGAGCATCAGTTTCTTCATCTGTAAAATGGGGACAATGATATTTATGCAAAGAGTAGAATAAAAGACCACATGGCAGTGCTTTTTCTCCTTGTGTCCAGCACATAGTTTACAACTGATACTGGTTTCCTTTTTGTCTCTGAAAAAGACAGGGTTGCCTTCCCTCAACCTTTTCCAGAATTCTGGTGGGCTAAAATGTCATTGGAACAGAAGATCTCGCGGGAGGGAAGGGGTCTCCGGGGAGAGTCTCCTTATATATCAGCTTTCTTTCGAGTCTATGCTGGCAAAGAGCCAGATTCACTGACCAACGAGGTCTCCTTTGTCTGTTTTTCAGATGAGCAGGGTGAGTTCCACTTGACCAGCTGGCCCTGGTTTGGAATGAAGCCACCTCTGGCCCAGCCACTGTGAGGTTCGGTTTGACTGGAGCAGCTTTTTCCAAGAAGCTCTGAGAATGTCTTACAAGGATGGCAACTGCCTCTGTGTTGGGCTTGGGGGGTAGGGAGTGGTAAGCTTCTGCTGTTCTTTCCTATCCAAGGGCCCCAAGAACTTATACCTCTACAGGGAGTTCTCTGAACCTGGTGCAGAACCCATAAATCTTAGAATTTATTAAACCCCTACATAAATACTGAGGGCCAATATCGAAGACTGTCACAGCACAGGAAGCCTGATAAATCACAGCCTTGCCTGAGTTATGAAACCCACAGTAAAACAGATGTATAACGTATGAGCCATGAGGAGACCATGAGGCCCACGTTTTTGGGGACAAGGGACAAAGGATTGGAAAATGGGACCAAAATGTGAGCAGAGGACAACAACTCTGCATTTCAGATGCAGTGACAGCCTGGAGGGCTCCGTGAAGGAGGCATGGGCCATCCCGCCCAGCCTCTGTAGGGTGGCAGCGATCTATTTTGGTTCCCAAAGAACACAGGAGTGAAAACTGCAATTTTCTCAGACTAGACTAAACAATGTAAAATGATTTTTATAAAGAAACCATTTTGCATTGGGTGCCTAGGGTCAGTTTTGTGTGGGTTTTTTGTTTCCTCCTGTGGGAACACTGAGTGATTGATCCCTAAGTTGCCTATTCATCTAAAAAGAAAAAAAAAATGTTTCTATCAGGACTATTTCTAAACAGAATTTGGGTCAACTACAATAAAACTGTAAGTAGAGCAAAACTGTGAGCCAGATAAGAACTTAAAAGGCAAGAAAAACAAAGTAATAAATACATGAAGGATAAGTAAGCAGTTGATTCTACCAGGAAAACGAAACGTAGGACAGCTAGTATGGCTAATTATAAAATTTAGTTCTGCGAGTCCTAGCAGCCAAGGCCAGGATGGCAACAGGATGATTCTGTGGTTCTCACTGTCTGATCAAAGAAAGCATATGCCATCAGGAGAGACATTTGTGTCCTTGGCTCTGAGTGCAGTCTGTGAAATATGACTTTGCTTGGATGGATAGTGTCTTTGTTAACAGCTGTAAAGGATGCCCCATATGGACCTCCTCTTCCTCCGCAGCCCTGGGTGGGAGCAAAGGGAAGAGGGAGCAAGAGGGGAAAAATAGAGAAAAAGGGAGAAATAAAAGAGGAAGGGTGTAGGGGTGGGGAGTGAGGGAGGGAGGGAGAGAGAGAGAGAATATGAATATAAGATAAAACAAAGCACACATCCAGGCAATATCAGAACCAGAGCCCTGATACAGGTCTTATGAGCTCCTGTCCAGTCCTCCTTCCCCTTGAAGCAATTTTCACTGAGATGATATGAAAGTAGAGTTTATTTGTATGTAGCTGTTGTGATGGTGGGAAGATGGTGGGTGATGCATCTGCATCTGTGACCATAATCAACCTTGAGCCCGCATCACATGCACAAATGCAGTCTCAGGAAGTGTACAGAACACGGGCGTTGGGACTCCTACCAGCTGGGTGGCTTTGGCCAGATGACTGAACTTGGGAAGTGCAGGCACAGGGACACTGCTCACTTTATTTTGTGTAGGACGTTGTTTTCACAGTTACGGCAAATCAATTGGTAGGTGTTCATTCCGCCTCACAGAGGGTTCCAGCAAAAGGTGCCCTCTCCCGACATGTTCTGTCTTCGTCTCCAAGCTCCTCCCTCTTTCACCCCATCCTCCACTAGGGCAGGTGGGATTTGGCAGAGAAGAGGCCACCTTACTCTTGGCTCCTGGCCACAAGCCTGGGGTAATCTCTTCAACTGGTGCCCTCTGTCTTCCATCTGCAGTTCTATGATGACCTGAAGAAACTGCCCCCTGAGTTCTTCTTGCAAAATAAACCCCTGAGTTTTCCTGAGGTGTTTCTCCCAGAAAAAGAAGTGAGTAAGGAGCTGTGGCTGGAGCCGGGGATGTACCTCATCGTGCCCTGCACATCGGAGGCCTGTCAGGAGTCGGAGTTCGTCCTCAGAGTCTTCTCCAGGAAGCACGTCTTCTAGTAAGAGCACAGGCCTCTCCCGGAGGTCTGGCCTGGTCGGACCTGGGGCGATCAGGAGCGTGAGGTGGGGAGGCAGCAGATGGGGTCTCTGTGGCCAATACAGAAGAGAGATCAGGAGATCAGGAGAGCAGGGCAGCTCTCCACATGGAGGACATCCTTCCCTTCTTCCTTCCGCTCTCTTCCTACTAACACATGAACACTGTTAGACATTACAGAGAAAAAGACAGAACAGGCACACGCATGGCCCCTGTCCTCCAGAAGCTCAAGGTCTGGAATGGACACAGTCACAGTTGTTTTTGTTATACTGTGTCCAGTGGAAGCATTTATCTGTACAGGTGTTAGAAGAACATGAAGAAGGAGCATCAGCTAACCTTCCATGACCCTGGGGAAAGCAGGGGTGGCTTTCAGGAGGTGGTGTCATCCTAAGGGATGACAGGGATGGTTGCGATGAGGGGAGGCTGCCATCATCCGGCAGACCCAGACACCGCAGGTGTGTACAGGTAAACCAATATGTACACATCCCAGCCAAACTTAGTATTTGGCCTATGATTGTTTGGACATGACAACCCTTTGATGCTTAGAATCCATTTTTTTCCTTCATGTTTTGACCATTGATAGTTTGACTTGATCTCAAGCATCTAAAATATGAGTAGGAATCATTAGATGAAGGTAGGGGGAAGTAAAAGGTGTGCTGGGCAGAGGGCTCGGTGTGAGCAAAGGCATGAGATGAGAATCGGCACCGGGCACATGGGGAGATGCAAGTAGTGTGCCTGGTCTTACACTTCATGGACAGGTGGGAAGTGAGGTGTGAGAGCTGGATGGGCCCACATGATGCATCAGCTAAAGAACTGGTAAGAGTTCCTGGGGAGAGGGAGAAGATTGGCCAAAAGTTTCCCAAGATGATCCCCAAGAAGGAATTCTTTCTTTTGTTTTCCCTCAGTGAAATTGGCAGCAATTCCAGAGCTGTCTTCTCTAAGGTAAGTAGTCAGTGGAGTTCTGCATGGCTGGGACTGTTTACGAAGCCAGGGTGCTGGGTTTCTCCCCTCATGTTCAGATCTTACAGACCCTACTCTGTGGCATGTAGGATACATTATCTATTGTGCCCTGAGAGTACCCAGGTTCTGCTGTTTTTGCACCAAGAGAACTGCCCTTTTGGTCAGGTCCTGTCTTCAAGGGCCCTGAGCCCCAGGGGCATGAGTTATACTTTTACCTTCTTCTGCTTCTCTCTACCTGGTGTTTCTTTTGCCCGTTTCACTGTTTGCTACTTCCCCAAAGGCAGCAAGAATTGGAGAAACGAGGGCTGTGTGAATGCTGTGGTAGAAAATTTAAGACAGTGCTCAAGGTCAAACTTCTGGATCTCAGAAGCCTGGGAGCTGTGAGACATGAGTTGTGTGTACGAGAGCCTGTGTATCCAGATGAATAATTACGTCTCTCTATGTGTCTGTTCCTGTAGGAAATCGTAGACCAAACTGAAGGGCAGGATGAAGTCTTCACCAAACTCTTTGAAAAGGCAAGTTGAAGATGTGTGGTAGCCAGAGGTGGGCAGAGCAGACAAAGTGGAGCAGATAACTGCATGGTTATGTGTTTGACCTGCCTGACCTTGTGTATGAACTGTGATTTAAGGTGACCTGTTCTCCAAGCTGCCACTTTCTATTCAAGTCCTCAGTCTTTAGAAGGCTCCTGTAGAATGCCTATCCATTCTTGGAAGCTACATTAATTAGTTGTAGGGGAAATGGAATATAGCAGAGTCAGAACTTAGTAGTGGGAGTGGGGAGGCGTGGCAATGACCAACTTTGGGGCCTTGGGGAGAGACATTAAGGGAAGCCCAGAGAGAAAGACCTCTTGGGTGGTTTTTTGGAGAGAGGGTGAGTCTGGTAAGAGGACCTTGCAAAGGTGGAGGGCCCAGAGTTAAACACCCGGTCTCCTTGAGTTTTTTTCCCCTGGGTGATCCCAATCTGGAGGAAGCGGGGAGTGTGGAGGGCTCTAGAGGCCTGTCTGTCCTTAACTTGCAGGACACTAAATCTATTTGGAAATGGGGCGAGAAATATATTGGAAATCTGGGGTCTGGCATCCCCTACAATTTCATTAAAAATGGAAGAGCATGTTAGTAACACTGTGGATTTAATTAATATATTTCCTGCCCTCCCATCTTCTCTCACATTCACCCCTGGTGTTTTGACTAATGTAGCCAGAGGAGGCATGTCAAAATTTAATGTGTTGTTTATAAAAGTTTTTCTCTACACCAGGGGTTTCCAAATATTTTCTGCTGCTTCTTTTTTATGTAATGAAATCTCATAGAGAATACCAATAAATCTGAAATGGATTAAAGTTGTATATTATTGCCTAGGCCAGCGTGGCTTTGTTGTTTGAGCCTTGTCCCATATACCAAGAGGTTGCTGGTTCTGTTTCCTGGTTGTGAAACTTGATCCCCAGTAGGGGGCGTGCAAGAAGGCAGTCTGTTTTTTAAAAATATATATATTTTATTTAATTTTTACAGAGAGGAAGAGAGAGTGATAGAGAGTTAGAAACATCGATGAGAGAGAGTCATCGATCAGCTGCCTCTTGCACACCCCCTACTGGGGATGTGCCCACAACCAAGGTACATGCCCTTGACTGGAATCGAACCTGGTATCCTTTAGTCCACAGGCCGACACTCTATCCACTGAGCCAAACCGGTTTTGTCCAAAAGGCAGTTTATTGATGTTTCTCTCTCTCCCTCTCCCTTCCTCTCTCTCTAAAATTAATAAGAACATACTTTAAAACATTTTTAAAATTGCATATTATGAATATGTATCCATCTGATAAGTTTAAATTTGTGATCTTTGTATTTTGTTAACATAATTTCAAGCTAAATGTTAATGTAAATAATTGCTTCTGATGAATCTAAAATGAAAATCTGGAATCTTGGCTGAGGATATTTTATTAGGAGTGAAATTTAAACCAAATTGTTTGCTCAGCTCATGAAGCATCTCTATAGAACCCAGATGGAAAGTCAGTGTTCTAGGCTATTTCTTAAGAACCCTGCCCGGCTGGGGAGCCCTAGGTTTGGCACCCAGTTAAAAACTATTGTAAAAGTTCTTATGAAATTCCAGATTCAATTTCATGACTAGTCACGTTCTTCATGGGCAACATTATGGTGTCACTTATTCTGTCCAGAAATGGCATCTGTGCCAAACTGAGAGGATGCTGGAGAGGATGCCTCAGCCCCTGTGAGCTGGGCCCCTCTGCATCTAGTGAGCCTTCTATAATGATGGTTTTTCTCCTGCCCCTCCGCTTTCACTCCAGTGTCCAGAAATAAATGCAGCTCAACTGCGGAGGATCCTGAACCAGCTGACCTGGTCAGGTGAGTACTTTGGAGCCATGCATCCTGCAGGATGCAGTCACCACCATTCTGAACTCTGGGTCTGTGTCCCTTTCCACTGGTGGGATGTGGGAACTGTTGTCCCCTGAGCAGCTGGGTCTTACACCAGGATGGGTCCTGTGGTCCGATAGAGCAGTAAGCGAATTTACGCAGCTTGGAAACTAGTTTTATTTTTTGTTTGTTTTGCTGAGTATGTGTGAGGAGACAAATGATAGTGAAAATGAAGATTTCTACTATGTTTCTAGTTTGAGAAGAATAGCTGAGTTCTTCCTTCTTGGCATATAAATTCAATGTGGAAAATCTATGCCCACTTCCTCAACAGGGCAAATAAATATTAAATATTGAGTAGTCCACTAGGGGGCGAATTCATAATTAAGTGGATCAACCTGTAAAAATCTGGAAAAAGAAAGCACATCACCCAGGAGGGCTACAAACAGGTGGTGACAAGACTATCAGGTGAAGCCTGGGATACATCATTAGGAAAGCTTGAAATTCATATTAAAGCAGTTTATAAGTATATTTTGAGTGAGACTAACATGATTTCTACAGGAAGGAAAATAAACTTCAAAATGAAAAAAAGTAAGCCAAAAAATTAAAGGCTATTTTCTACCTCACATCTGTGATTGCTTTTTCTTTATATGAAAACAAGACTTTACACCCAAACAAGTTAGAGGCCAGGGTATTGTATAACTCAGGGCTTGAAATAACTTCCAGATGGCATCTCAAAGTGTACTTAAGGTACAAGAGCCAGAAGAAGAGACTCTAGAAATGATAGGATACAAGAGTTCTCCCTCTGTCCCACTGGGAGAAAAGAATCCAGGGAAATTACCTAGAAGAATGCACTTTAAAAATGGTTCAAATCCCGCCTTAGCCAGTTTGGATCAGTGCATAGAGTGTTGTTGGCCCAGGTTCAATTCTGGTCAAGGGCACATGCCTGGGTTGCGGCTCGATCCCCAATTGGGAATGATTCTCTTTCATCATTGAAGTTTCTGTCTTTCTCTTCCTCTCCCTTCTTCTCTGAAATAAATTTTTAAAAATGGTTCAAATACCTTGATCATAAATACGCAAATTGATTTTCCAAGGAATGTACAGACAGATTGCTTCCATTCATTCCTCTGAGAAGGTTCTGGTTTGATAGGTGAGGGAACTATTGTGAATTTTGGTGAAGGATTTGGTAATGCCTCCCACAATAAAGGATGATTCTAAAGTAGCAATATGAGATGTATTCACAAGTTTTAGCACCAGGCCCAAAAGTTAAATACAAAACCAGAGGGATCATTTTCTGTTACAGCTGAGTATCTAGATGTTTAGAATCTTTGGACTCTGCCCTTACCCTCCTCCTCATCCCCCTCCCGCAACCCACCCCTGCTTTCACTTCCTCAGCTTTTTTAGTGGTTCGGAAGCAGATGTGGAAGGCAGGTGGACCAGATGTGCAGCTGGCACAGTACTAGGAGGAATCGTTATCTTAGACAGCAGAATTGAAATTCAGAACATTTCCTACAAGCTGTGCCCTAACTTAAAAGATGAAATGAAGTCAGGATGATCATTCAAAACTACCGTTTTGTTACTTTTTAAAAAAATATTTGCACACATTCCTCACAGAAAAGACCTCATTTTGTGGCAATTGATAGGTTCGATCTGTGGTTAATTTAGGTGACTTCGAGCTTAACATAAGCGGATAGTTTTAAACCGTTGCCATTAAGTGCACTAATTCAGATTTAGGCTGTATCTAATGGAAGCATTTAGATTTGTGTGTTTGAAACCGTGTTCCCAGAAACATTAGAAACCAACAGGTTTCAGTAAGTGTTCCCTGAAAAAGAAGAGATTAGGCTCTGTGGTCAATTGCAGTTGGGAAATACTGTGTCAATCAAAATTTCAGTGTTGGCCCCTCAGTACGTATCATGTATTAAGGTGTCAGGTGAATGGAGAAAAACACCTATAGATACAAATTATGTCAAAGTCGAACTCAACGGTCTTTGTGTGCAGAAAATCTTCCTTCGAAACATAAGTTGGAAAATGCAGGCTGAAAAATTTGCAAGTGATAGACCCATTTTCATATATACTCTGCTTAATCAAGTTGCATCTGAAGGGTGCGATCCAGGCTTGGTACCATATTTTAGAGAGATGCTGGCCTTTTCCGAGAAAAGGCCTCCATTCATTAGGTCTAGAAGTTGATGAGATTTTAGAAACCATATTGTCTGGGGAACCATTGGAGAAATGTGGAGAGGAGACAAATACCCATTAATGCTTTTCTGGAGGCAAAATGAGGACTAGTGAGTGGAATGTATAGGAGCTTCCTTTGTAATGAACTTAGGAAGTGTCTCCTGAACGGAGCTAGCCATCCATGTGAGCACCCATAATTGACTGACCATCGTCAAGTCATCGGAGGAAAGCATCCCTCACTTAGGTGGGAGCTTGAACAAGATGATCTCTCAGATCTCTCTCCATAGCTCTCCAATGCTGCCCCTTGCTGGGTGCATGGGGTGAGTTCTTCTGCCCCACGATGTAAGCCACCCCAGGCTCTGAGTAGGGTTCTCCACAGGGATTTACATGCAACTTGGGTGCAAGGATCACCACCAAGCATCCCTTCTCTCCATGGCTCTTTGTCTCTTCCCTTCCCATATCAATGATATTATAGTTACCGGAACCCGTGGCTGGCCAAGGCAGCACTGTCTGCTCCCATTAGAAAAGGGCCATGCCATGCCATCCTGGCCAGCTCCCATGTGCTCTTCCTGTTCCTCTCCAGGTCTGGGGAGCACACAGCCCCTCTTCAGCCTCGACGCCTGCCAGAGCATCCTGGCCCTAATGGACGTATCCTTTCTGGTCTGTGGGAGGATGCATGCTGCTGGTTGAGAGCTCCACCTTGAGCCAGGCTGCCTGGGTGTGAATCCCAACCCCAGTGTGTACCAGCTGGGTCATCTTGGGCAAGTCACTCAGCCTCAGAGTGCCTGCAGGTCCACATCTACAGCATGAGATGGATTCAAGCCTGGTCAGGAGGGGTCATGGTGAGAATGCAAATGGGACAAACTATGTAAACAGTGCTTGGGGCAGGTCTGTCTTTAAAAAAGTGATCAATATAAACTATTGATAACAATAGTCTGAGAGTGCCAACGAGGCAGCTGCAGGGTGGTGGTTAGTTTCCAGATTTATAGGGCACTTAACAAGAGTTCAGGATCCTAAGTTTTCTGTTTGGTGACCAGGCAGTGGCTGCCCCCATTGACAGGTCAGAAGCTGGGAGCTCAGAAAGTCCAACAACTTGCTGGAGCTCGACTCTCCTGGTTCTCAGACCTTCAGTTTTCCTAGCAAACCTTCTGCCTGTCTAAGGGGACACTTTAATCCAAGTTTGGTTGTCCGTACTACAGATAGGCAAATAGGATGGATGTGTATGTGAGATGGGGGTAGGGAATATTGCAAATACAAAACAGTCTTTGCAGAAACTTTGCAGAGAGTGTGGACAGCGTGGGATGAAGGTCAGGTGTCCCAGCATTGGAGCAGATCCCAGCCTTGTCTCCCGCTGCATGAACTTGGATGCAATCAGACTCTCGGGTCATCTGTCATAGGGTCAGTGGACACCTGTCTCACCTGCCAGTTGAAAAAGAAGTCCCACCAACAAAGGAGCCTGTCTCCCTGATGCAAGGGTATCAGGACACAATGACAAGACCAACCACTAAGCTGTAACTTTCCATAAAATGACTAAATATAGGAAGCATACTGAGCCACCGGATTCCTTCCATAACTTGGTTTTGGCAATAATGAAAAAAATGTCATGATGTGCTGTTAAATTTTAAATCACCTCAAATTGGCCATGTCAAAACATCCAGCTTCACTAAATACATGGTAGCTGTTGTCATTGCCACCGTTGCCACTACCAATTGCGCTTCTCCCCGTGCTGCTATGTTTCAGCTCTTTCTGTCCTTTCTAGCAAGGGCCAGGAGCCCTAGGCTGGACTCTCTGGCAAGGGGAGGCCACTGGAGATAGCTGACCTTGAACAGGGCTGTCCATACATTGCACACTGCTGTGAGGAGGCCAATCCCTGTATCCAGAGGCATAGGTGAAACTCCCTTTGCAGCATTGACCTTAACCCTGCTGCCAGCTTAATGCATCAGGCACCGTGAGCATCCAGGAATTCAGAGACCTGTGGAAGCAGCTGATGCTCTACCAGGTAAGAACACGTCTTGTCCACACCTCCTTGCAAGATGCTGCAGAAAAGGCAATCCTGCAATGTCTGTAAGGTACTTACTTCTCTCTCTTTCAGCCCTTTACACCGAACTACTGACCCGATCCTCTCTACTCTGTCTCCAGGGAGCCCTCCTTCTCCCTGGCAACCTCAGAGAGCCCGTTGCACTAATCCCCTGACTCTCGAAAGCCCACATGAGATCATCACTTCCCATGGCCTCAGAGGAAGTCCACACTCCTTAGCGTGGCATTAAAGTCCTTCATAAACTTTAATGGCTCCTTCTTACTTTTTTAATCATTGCTCAAAACTCTCCCCATTGTCTTCTGAATCATAAAGTTGGAAGCCCTTCGAAGTTTGGATATTGGGCTGAGATTAAACACCTTTAAACACCACTGTCTATCTGCCGTGATCAAAAGACCGTCCCTTTCTCAGAGGCTTAAGAAGAGATGGGAGAGGTGGTGGGATCCTGGATGGACCCTCCACCGTGTTCTCATCCTGGCAGCAGGCCCTGCCGATGGAGCCTACACTCCCACCTGTGTCTGCAGCGTAGGTGCTGTTGGAAGAGGGGCTCTCGGGTGGTGCTTGGAAAAGCCTGGCTCCCTTAACATTCGGTTCTTTGTAGGCGGTTTTCTACAAGCAAGACAGTAACCAGTCAGGATGCCTGAACTGGTCCCAGCTGCGGGCTGCCATAAAGGATGTAGGTAGGCCTGAGGGCACCTGGTGCTGGAGGGCATGCACAGGAGAGGGTGGGGAGAGTCCATAGCATTCTGGAGTAATTCTAATGCACAGTTACTCCCTGAGTCCAGAGATCCAAACACAGGGGCCTACAAACAGCAGAAACATTTGTTACTATCACTGTAATCACTGCTAACAATTATTGAGGGGTGGCCCATCCACACTCTCATTTAATCTTCTATAATGCCCAGTTCTCACCCCCACTTTACAGAGGAAAAACAGTGAGGCTCAGGGAAGTTAGGTGACTGCCTAGGGTTTAAATACGGGACCACCAGGTACCAAAGCAGAGGGTCCTGACCCTGACAGACTCTTGCTTCCCGCCTCCTCCCCCCCCACGCCTTGAAGGCCAGTGACCCTCTGGATGAAAAGAGCCTCATGCTGGTTGCCCAAGGGGAACAGGAATGGGGAGTGGAGACAAAATGAATGAACTGAATAATTAAACAATTCACAATGAAATCCATAAAGGAAGACCCCCATGCTTTCAGGATTCAGGGCCCAGGAGAGAAGGGATGATTTAAATAAAGGGTCTCAAAATGGGAGGGGAGCTGAGTGTGAGGTTCCTGGCACTGGGGGCAGGAGTCCGTGTTCACTGCAGGAATCGTGCTCAGCGATGACATCTGCCTGCTGATGCTTATCCGCTACAGCGGCCCCAAGCTCCAGATGGACTTTGTCAGCTTTGTCCTCTTGATGCTGCGAGCAGAGAAGACGGAGAGTGAGCTGCTGGGAAGCAGGGGAGGCGGGGCTTCCTCTGCCTGGATTGCGGGAGGGGGGTGGAGGGGGGGGCCCTGCAGGCCAGGGAGCCAGGCAGGATTCTGGCTACCTGCCTGCCAGTCCAGGCTGCATCTACCCACACTCATTTGCACTCTGCCTTTTCCAGAGGCGGAGGTTTGAGGCAGCTCTCTTATAATACACGTGGCCACATATGGTTCCCCAATTGAGTTCCCAGATGAGGGGACCTATGGGCGGAACAAATTCATAATATTTTCAAAACATATTAGCTGTGTTTCTTTCCTCTGCATTTTCACAGGTATCTTCCAAAACTTAACCCAAGATGGCAAAGGGATATACCTCCAGAAGCCAGAGGTAAGACTTTCTCCATGGGGTTAAATCACATCATCCAAGGTAGAGAGGCCACTGCAGGGCCAGGCTCCTGTGAAGGAAAAGGGCTTGGGAGCGCCTTTTATTCTACTGAGTTCAGGATGTGGCACTGCATTCATTCATTCATTCATTCATTCATCAAATATGTACTGAGCACCCAACCTGTGCTTCACACATATGAGGGAAACAAGAGACTGACTCAGGGTACCCCATGACTATGATCATGATCATACTATGTGACAAATCCACACAACTTCAGTGGTGATGACAGCACACACTTATCTCCCCAGTCCCATGCTGGGAGTCAGTGGGATTTGGCTATCTGGCTAGTGATTGTGGGTGAGCAGGGGCTTTTCTGGCACCTTCACTGAGGAAGGCTTGCCTTTCTCAGGACATTGACACTATCAAAGGGGAGTAAGTTGAAATATGCAAGATCTCCACACCCGGGGACAACGTGCCTTGCAGTTCATTCTGTTGTCTAAAGCAAGTCACGTGGCCAAGCCCTCTTCCAAAAGATGGGGAACTGGCCTTCTCCTCTGTCATGGGAGGAACTTCAAAGTCACTTGCAGAGGGTATGAACCCAGAGGGCGAAGACCTGGGCCAGCAATGAGCTTGAGCACAGACAGTCACAGGAGAGCTGGTCTAGGTAACATGTTCCACAAAGGCTTTTCAGGCAGAGGTGGCATTGAAGTTGAAACCTCAAAGATAAGAAAGAGCCAGGGCAGCCAGAGTGGAGAGCAGGAAAGGCCCAGGCCAGAAGGAAGGGCAAGTACAATCCTGGCTAGAATGTAGAGCATGAGGAATCTGTGAGTCTGAAACAATCAGGACATACAAGCCGCAAATAAACTTCATTCTAGGAGTTGGTTTGGAAGAGATTCTAACTTAATCTCTGAGCCATTATCTCCAATCTCATGCGGGGCTTTGCACATAGTAGAGGTACTTGACAAATGTTCGTTGAGTGAATGAGGTGATATGCTGAGGAGAAGACACATATGTGCCTGACACCGATTGTCTTCTTTGATCATTCGAACTGCGTGGGTTTATGGAGTACCTGCTATGTGCCAGATGTGGTGCTAGGTGGTGTTTGCTGCAAAGACATTGCAGTCTGGAGTCTGCTCTTTCTTTCTAAAACACATCCCCTGTTTGAGCTGATGAGGAAGGGCCTACGAAAAGCTTTGGCCTCACATGTCCATGTTGTGGAGTATCTTTTCAGGATATAGGGACCCACAGCATATGTTTCCCCTCGATTGCTCCCATATTCAAGTGTGAAGGTGGGGTTCAGCTGAGAAGCAATGGTTAGACTCCTATGAGCCCGTCCCTACCTAAGATCACTTCCTGATGCCAAGCAGTGCTTCCACAGTGCAGGCTTAGAGCTGGGAGAACGAGACAGCATGAGTGGGGCCATTGAAACAACCCACAGCCTGAGCAGGCTAGCAATGCAAGGTGCTACAATGGAAGGAAGACTGGGCTGAGACCTGGTTGAACTCACAGCACCCTTGTAACTAGCAACGCTTATTAAATCTCTGGGCCTCTGCTTCCCTGTGTGAGTAATGAGTGGACTAGGCTAGGTGCTCGCTAAGAACCTCTCCAGCTCTGACCATTTCTGGTTTTATGAGAAGGAGATCCTCAGGGCCATCCAAGGAGACCTCCAGGGAGTGGCAGCCAACTGGTTGGAATTTCACTCCGGGGTTTTCTTTGACACCATCAGTATCTCACTTCACCATCATCATCTTCATCATCACCAGCAGTAGCACTATCATCCGCATGTAATTGGCCTGTGGAGTGGTTTCTCCAAAAGTCCCCTCTATGTGAATTAGAGGCACCATCCATCACACCCACATAAAGCTGTCAGACAAATGGGCCTATAAATGTAAACATGTAGAATGTGCTCTAATGGATTTCTGCTACCCGGTCAGTCCATACACCTGCACACACAGCTGTCACGAGCATGCCAAATTGAGTTCATGGGGGATGGGGACGGGGGAGGAGGCATTGAGAACTGAATACAGAATCAGCCTGTATCTCGGCTATCATCATTCACAGGCACCACGAGAAGTCAAGGTTGATTATGTTTCAGGTTGATTTATACTTATTACCAGATGGTGTTGGTCCCTCTGGCTAAACCATTCATTAATGTCCTGTCTCCATGGCTTCTCATGAGTGAGGGGGAGGAAGCCCAAGTTCTATGTCAGGCTGAGAAACGAAGCACCTTTAACAGAAGGTCAGAGGCCGGGCTGCACTGACGGGCATTTGCTTCCCCATCACGACCAGTGGCAGATGATGACTCTGTACTGCTGAGAAGGCCGGAGCGTCACGTGCCCTCACTGAGGACTCTCCGTATGGCCCACGGGAGGCAACACCGATGCTCTACGCACTTTCTGTTCTTCCGGACCATGTCTCCACTGGGAAGATTTCTCTCCTGTAGATCTCCCCTTCAGATGGCCAGTGTGCAGAAGGGGAAGGGAGGTAGCAAAGACTGCCCTTGGACTTGTCAAGACCAGCTCTTGTTCCCTATGGCTACAGCCTTGTCCCGCGCAGAGATGCTACCTGAGGTGGCCTAAGCAATGTGACTCCAGAGTTGGTGTCTTCACCTCTATACAACACTGCCCCTTTGGCTGTCCAACTTAAATGACCATAGAAGTGTCATCACATTTGGGGTAAGAGTCTACGTTTCAAGATCTGAAGAGGAAATGCTGTGTCCTTGGACAAACTGTACCCGCATTTACAAACTGGTGGAGCCACGGGCTACGTTTTAACTGTTTGGGTATGGGGTGAGGGTATGTTGAGATTTCAAGAACACATAACACCGGCAGGGTCCAGGTGGAATGGGCTGGCTCTGGAGCCTCAGGTCACTGGGTGGTCTTCTGACAATATTTCCAGATGACTGGATTTCGGGGTAGAGGGGAAAGACCAGGGATTTAAAACACCCGAATTCTCAAAGATCTTCCTGTATGTGACAGGTGTCAGTCTGTTTACTTGACCTCTGGACTCTCAGATCCATTTCAAATCAAGCCCAGAAATCCTTCGTGTACCTACCTCAAAGAACACAAATCTGTGCTGCATCATAGGGTCAATCAGTGGCTGGCTGGTATATCTGATTTTTTAAACCACAGTGACACCTCACTTTCATAGCATCCCTACCCATCCAGAACCCCAGTGGAAAACCAGATCAAAGGCCATTTCCAACACCCATGCATTTTACTCATAGGCTAGCACCTCCCAGCCATTCATTAAATTTTCTTAATTTACAAACTATCCTAACAAACATGACTAGTTGGTTTCCAAGTCCTTAGCAGACTAGAGGAAAAGACTGAAGAATGAAATAAAACCTGACCATTGACAAAACTAAAGCCAATTTCACAGCCTGATAGATGGCCGCTGTAGGAGGAGGGAGCACTTTCCACACCTGGCTAAAGAGATAGAAAAGTATTTAATTTAGAGAAATCTTTATTTCTTCCAAATGACAAAATGCAAAATGGTTTGCCGTCAAGTGTCAGATACATGAGATATTACTGGTTTTATAAATGATAATCATGTATTTATAATCTTTAAAAGATTTTAAAGTCCATTTTTGTATTGGTATCTCTGTTTTTAGATTCTGCAATTGCAAATGATTGTTTTCATTAAACAGTTACTACTTTGATCCATGAAGGCAATCTTGGATATTTTGTGGCGTGGGGGTGTTGGGGAGGTGGGACCATTAGCCCATTCATGATACTTGGGCTACAGTGTGATAGGATCTGTATCCAAATGAAGTCTGATTTCTTGGCGGTTGGAACTACCCTCCTATGCCACTCGTGTGGCACCCCGAGTCTATGTATCCCTGTGGCGACTCAGGAACCTCCTCCCACAATTGCCTCCAACACTCTCTACACCGAGCCCTAGTGAGCAGGGGCAAAGCCATCGCTCCACTCCAATATACCTGACCCATCTTTTGTCACTCCAGGTCATGGGGGTGGGGGGTGCAAAGTGAATATCTGGGACAGCATAGAAGGGTCAGGGTCAGGGTCAGGATGAAGTTATGCTTAAAGTTTGAGTGCTGGACATCTGCAATTCCTGGAAGTGGAAAGCCAAGTTTATCATGACCAGGACAAGTGGGAAGTGTACACACCAGAATCCCAGTGAAGAAGGAGCCAGGAATCAGCCCTCAGGCACCAACACAGGCGAAGTCAGGGAGTCCAGGAGGCTGGGTCGACCATAGTCCAGCCCAACAGGCAGACCACACCAGGGCGAGCTCTGGCCTAGGCTTTCAAAAGCTCAGAGGGGGAAAGAATCTTCCGAGGGGCTAAAATACCTGTCCTTCAATCAGCCCCGGTTTTAATGTTTTTCTTCTTTCCTGTTTCATATAAAAAGTCAGTCACCAAAAGAGAGCCTTCCAGATTCTTGGTGGGGCCTGGGGCAAGGCAGTCAGCCGCTGACTGCAAATGGCACCACTTTCCTGCCACTGTCACGCTGGGTTAGAGAAATGATTTTAGCCTCCGGGATTTTCAATCCGATGTTTCCCCAACAAAACAGATGTGTTTAAGTTTATAATGGGAAAAAGGAGGAAGTGAGTTTGGTGAGTTATGGGCAGGTAACTACCGGCCAGCTCAGCCTGGCTTGGAACAACCGTATGTTCAGCTCCGGGTGCTCTGGAAAGAAGGCCCTCAGGGTCTCTGGCCCAGTCCTGAGTGACCACCTCTTTTCCAGGGTCCTGAGGACTTCCTCTTACGAAATCCTACAGAAATGAAAGCAAGGAGAGGTTGGGAAGGAACATCCTAGCCGTGTGACATTGGACCTCAGTTTACCCATTTGTCACTGGGTTACTGTGAAGATTAAATAGCACCAACACGTTGTAGGCACTCAACTGGGCAGCATAGTATTTTTTTAAATGACTCTTCTTATTTGTTTTTGTTTCAAAGAGCACAGTCACTCCTAGGAATTGCATTTCTGGGGGGCACACGGTTCTTACTCTGCTTTGATTTTCCTCTTCTTCCTCCAGGTCAGCCTTCCTCAGGAGGGCTGTCCTAGTCTCCAGTGTCAGGGGCCAAATCGCATGGACCTCTGAGAAACTGACAACCTTGTTATTAAAGCTCCTCTTCAGTCAGGCAGACAAGGGGCCTTCCCTCTGCTCACTGGAACCTCAGAAGCAGCAGCAGGTTTACTCATCAGAGCCCCAGGGTGCTCACGAGGGTGAATAGTGAGAATAGTACTGTTTTCAAGCCTCGTTTTGAAGGCACCTCCTTGAGGGATACATCTGTACCTCACAGGAGGAGCATCAGGTGACAACATAGGATTTGATTCTGGCATTTGGTTTTGTGCTCAATGAATGCACCCTGATTTCTCTGCTAGGTGGGGGAGGGCACCTTCCTTTCAGCATTTGTGGCATGTGCTGAGGCTGTGTCACCACTAGGTGGCGCTCTGATCCCACAGAAGGGCTCCTTCCACGGGGCTGGACTGATGATGACAGCTTCAGCACCCAGCCTGGTGAAGCTAGGCTGATTCCTGTCCTGCCAGCCCCACTCAGCTCAAAGGCCAGCTTCAGCCTCACACAGACTCACTTTCCTTGCCTCTTATTTTTTGCTTAGTTTTAAATTGATGCGCTGTTCTTTTGTTATACAGTGTATTTGTTTCTGATAAAAGCGAACTGTTTTCAAGCCCCATTTTGAATGCACCTCCTTGAGGGATACATCTGCACCCAGATGACGCACTCCCGTACTCCAGCGCCTAGATTAGCGCCTCGCTCACAGATGGGATTTATTGAATGAACGGTGAATCCTGTCATTTGAAAAGTCAGTATCTGTTTGAGTTGCTAAGTGAAACCATTACAGAAACATGGGACTTCCTGTTACAAACAAATTGTCTGACGTTGCAGAAGCCACAGTTTCCCCATGAAACCACCACTGAAAAGCTCACCAGACTCTCTCTCAATGGGCTTCATATCCAGACATTCCAGGGACCTGGCATCATTTTCTCCTACACGGTCAGGATTCTTCCTCCCAGAAGGACTAACCAGTTGGATTAAGATGTTGCTTTCCAGTTGTGACAGTGAAAGTTCTGTGAGCAGTGGGAGTTGGCTCGTTTTGGGCCAGACTCAGACTGAGGTGGGGGCTGGTTCTTAAGTCTTCATGCCTCTCCTGAGCCTTGGTGTGCACAGCCACCTGCTGGTACAAGGACCACAAGGCACAGCTCCTCCTGCTCATACAAGACCATGAAATACATCTCCTCCTGCTCATACAAGACCACAAGGCACAGCTCCTCCTGCTGGTACAAGACAAGGCACAGCCCCTCCTGCTTGCATAAGACCATGAGACACAGCTTCTCCTTTTTGTACAAAACAACGAGGCTGGCCTGCAGCCCAATGAGGCAGCAAGTGGTGGAAGGAGCAGTCCTGTCCTTGCCAGGGAGCCTGGGTGTTTTCCCTTCTCCTGAAAAGCTGTTTATGTGCTCCCAGTTCAGTTCCCTCACTTCTCAACTGCCTGAACCGAGCATTGTCACTGGTAATAATATGTAAAGGGAGCTGGCCAACCTTGATGGCTCTGAATGGTCGGAGCTATTAACTCATTGTCTAGTTGAGACAGTGGTAGTTGAGGCAACTTTAATTTGTTGATTATATAAAAATTCTTCTTGATTTTCTGTGTTGGAATTTCCGGACTAAGAGATCTTTGTCTCAGAATCTCAATAAAAGGAATGGTAAAAGGCCAGAGCAAGGGGTAGTCCTCCCCTAGAGAGGTGAACTCCCTTCTGGCCCCTATTTTCCCAAATTAACTCTTTTCCAGTCTCTCTTCATTTCAGTGTGCAGCCTTCTCCAGAAACCAGACTCTGAGTGGGCCCTGATCCACGCGGGTCCTGTTAAGGGATCCCACACTCAACCCAACTGTTTAAGAAGGCTATGTGCACAGTGGAGAAGATTTGACCGTAGAACTTATAAATCTGCCTCTGGCTGGAGATTAATTTGCCAGGAATACAGTGTGGCCTTAAAAGAAGATGCCTGCTTGAGTCCATTTATGAGTGTAAGTCACCATGGACGAGTCTCCAATATGCATATCTATGGTCCCGAGGACACTAGGCGGATCACGTGTGATCACATGCAAGTCGCTCGGTGCAGAGCCAGCTCCGCTGTGGCTTGCTGCTCCCTGGGACGGCCGTGCTGACCCACAGGAGGCCCAGGCTGCACGGCCCAGACCTCTATCGGTGGAGAAGCAGGTGGTGGCCGAGCCAGAACCAGCCAGAGGTCACAGGGCTCTGATGCCTGAAACCCACTGTTGCAATTCTGTTTGAAAAACATCTATTTTAGGGCTTTGGTACAAAGGAGTCAT